AAGAGCGACAAGGCTCATTGACGATGCCGACGAAATGTCTGGGAATGTACCAAGTCCACGATCCGACGCCGGGAATTATCATGGATACTACGGCAGAGGATTCCGAACAAGGTGCTTTCATCTAGGGCGACCTGACAATATAACCATGTTGTGAAAACAAGGTCAAACCACTTATGTACAAGAAATGAAGACGGCGATTATATTAAAAACCACATCGTCGATTAATCAAACTTTCTAAAATAATATATTTATGAATTTATTTGAGCCTCAGTGCCCTAAAATTACAGTAAGGCCGGGCCAGTGGATTTCAATCAGCGGAAAACTCGATATTGGTGAAATATAAACCAAGAAATCGGGTTTCAATAAATATCCTAAGAAATCATTATTGTGGAGATCTTCATTTTCTATGAAAGTGCTTAATGTTAACTTAAGACTTTTGCAAGAATCAGTCCCAGCTCTGATGATGTTCATTGTTAGACGCACGTAAACTCAGTTCGTATGCGCCTGAAACAAGGGAGGATGTGTCGTAGTAAAGTCAAACTGCTGCAATGCTGAGTGAATCAGCCGTCGTCTTCTGGTTGGATCGACATACGAATCTATCCAGTGTGCACTTTCACGAGAAATGAAAGTGTCCATATTGTTAAAATATGAAGCGTAGGATAAGGGGAGGGATCGAAAAGGCCGATGATAGAGACAAATTAAGTTAAATGTCTATTGGAAAGACAACATTATTCTAGTTTGCAACTCTTATTATAACTCGGCGATAAAAATCTATCAGAAAGGATAAAATCAGGCAAATAATGGACACAGGAAAGTAATTAAAAATTCCGGTCAGGTACGAAAACCAATAAAGAGTGTATATGAATAGTTGCCTTACTGAGAAATCTTGCTTTTACCGACTTTACTAAAGCCAGTTCTGAGGTATAGGATAATGCTTTAGAGATCGGCATTTGGATTCCTGAACTTTCAGATTAAATTCGAATCCTCTTTAGAAAACTTATTGTAGCCCTCCCTTTTCTACCTTCGTGCATATAACATTCTGGTGGCATATTCCTATATAAATTATTTTCTCTTAATCGGTCTCTTTTAGCCTTGCGAAATCGTAGTAACGTCTATCCGCATAATTTGGTATATAGCTGAACTCTGCATTGAACGACAATATTATCCTACTTTGCAACTTTAAAAATTCGTTGGGAATTGATTTAATTTAATCCAATATAATTTTTGGCATCTAAGATAAAACATATCTCAAATACGGATTATGGAATAAAAAGAGTAGTTTAACATACGATTAAATTGTTTTAAAAACTGCCTGACACCCAGCTTTTACCGGACCTAGAGGACTTACATAAACTCGGCTATCTGGGGCTGTATCGGAGTCTGGAGATTGCAAGTGCGAAGGTAAAGATAGTGGTCGCAGCGAAAACTGAGGAGTGGATCGATGAAAGTGGTCAATGTTAGCATTTACTAGGGTCATATTGGCTGAGGAAAATGCCGAAGAATAAGTAACAGCTGGGGCAGAAGACAACTTTTTGGCAGCAGCGAGAGGCAGCAATATTGGTTGATTTATCTCAATTGCCTGATCTATCCGTAAACCAGCCTGAGCGTCGTCTAGCACATCACAGTGACCTTGTAGTTCATGTTTTTTTGGTAAGCTATGGAGGGCACCGGGTATCTTATCATTAACCTCAATTTCTGAGTCCTGGAGTAGGATTGAAGTTGGCACCTCCGACGACTGAGGGCTAGATCGCGTGCGGGAACGAAGACAAATGGAAGATGAAGAAGATTTAGGCGCTAAAGAAAGACACGCTAAGGATGGATGCTGAAGCGGAACCAGAGAGGATGCAGTAGCAATAGAGGACAGTTTGTCAGTTGATACGATGGAAATAGGGCCAATTGTGTCATTGATACACAAATTAGATGGAGTAGGCCAGTTTGAAGCCGTGGCACCAGTAAGTGGAGTGACGGTTGCCCCGTGACATCGGTCGACAACTAAGGTCTTCTCATCAGGCTCCAATCTTTGGTGATATGTGGTTTGTAGTGAATGTAAAGATCGTTCTGAAATATAATAAAAAAAGATAATAATGTAATAATTCTGGAAAAAAAGATAACTGAACAGTAGTGCAATTAGGGTATTAATTTGTCGGGGATTAATGTCCTTTAAATAAAATTTAGTTTGTATGCAGAGCTAAATGACGGCAAACTTAAGTAAACATGGTAATCAAATATATTAAGATTAAATAGAAGATAGTGCATACCTACATTGAAAATATAGAAAAAGAATGAAAATAAATTTGAACGATTTATATGTGAACTGTTAGAAATGAGAGATGTTAAAAGTGCTTAGAAGTAATACTGCTTCTGAGCATGGAGATTATTATTATGAACTTAGACAAAAAACTAATCAAACGGAAATCAAAATTATTAAGAGATGCATGCATCAAAATGAGAATCAAGGGAATAGGTTTAAGCAAAGCCGTCCGTATCTGTGAAATGTACTAAGAATGAATTGTGTTGCAGAATAAAAGTGAGTTATGATTCATTCAATATATT